TTTGTATGGAGTATCTGTAGGTGAATGTAGGAGTGTATTTGTGTGTAGTGTTGTGTGTTTTTATGTACTGTTGCCATTTGAAAGTGTGTAGTGTTTGCCTTTGAACATAGCCATAAGTGTAATGTAATTTGGATAGGGGCTAGTCCTGAGTTTAAATAATATATTGGGTGCTGCTTCCATTGGGAACTGTATGTCCCGTCTGGTTTGTTTGGGGATTCTAGTAGCACTGTCTTTGGACCTGCTTGCTGGATGCTAGTCCCTGGTCCTGGGGACATATTAGTAAAGAACTAGGCCTGATAGCCTTTTTTGAAAGCAAGACAGGTAGAGGGATCAATACCTGCCTGGGAGAAGCATGATGGACAGAGTGGTCAATATTTCTCTGTGAATGTAGAGAATAATCCAAGCACTCCAAAAAGTCTTCCAGAATTAGGCAATTTATATTGGACCCAAGCACCAAAAAACAACCTTTTGACTCTAAGGTCTTTGTCAAGCGGCTAGCACCTTTTTGGTACTGGGACCGATCCAGTTAGCACCCAAGGATTCCTGGGAGGGTCTGAGTGCAGTTCCACTACCTAGTATGAATATTTGTCTGTGAGACGGAAGTGCAGGCGGGAGGTGGGGGGGGTGCTACCCACCTGATGGAGGAGGCACAGACAGATGGGCCTGCACACTGAGATCAGCTATGCCCTGATCTCAGCAGGATCTCTCTCTGAGGTGGAAGACCAACAGGCAGACCAACATGCCCAGTGGCATTTTGTCACAATCATAAACCTACAGATACACGTATTCAGATTTGATTCCACAAATTGGTGCTATTGTCTAATGATTGCCTTAGAAGACAAGGCAAAACACAGGTCAGTCCTTTAGGGTGTCCAGGATCCTGATGACTCTATGCAAAGCCAATGGGTGAAGTAAAAAATCCTGTTAGAGCAGATTAAGACACAGATTAAGTATGATGGGTATGTACCAAGAAAACGGGGCATTTTTCTTTTTTACTCAAACATGATGTTGAAATAGTAGATTGATATGTTATGAGTAGGAGTAGATGGTTACCATCCATGGTAGCCACACATATTTTGGGTAATTGAAATACAGCTGGAAGGAAAAGTCCTTATGCATGTCTGAGTTTCTGCAAGTCTGAGTTTTAAAAGACCACTTCTAGCAAACCTGAACAGTGCTCAGATCACCTACAACTGGAAAGAAAAGGCCTTATGCATGTCTGAGTTTCTGCAAGTCTGAGTTTTAAAAGACCACTTCTAGCAAACCTGGACAGTGCTCAGATCACCTACAGCTGGAAGGAAAAGGCCGTATGCATGTCTGAGTTTCTGCAAGTCTGAGTTTTAAAAGACCACTTCTAGCAAACCTGAACAGTGCTCAGATCACCTACAGCTGGAAGGAAAAGGCCTTATGCATGTCTGAGTTTCTGCAAGTCTGAGTTTTATTTTTATTTTTTTCAAATTTGACAATTTTTATTGTTTTGTCATTTCTTGATAGGATGGGGATACAGAAAAAAGAAAGGGAGGGGTGGGGAAGGGGGAAGTTGCAATTCCATAAAGAATGTGTACAAGTTAGTTGTCATAAACAATCTCTGTAATCACAGTTGCTGGAGTACATATAGTAACTGTTAAACAGTGCAAGGTAGTGGTATTCGTGCTTTGACCGTTGGTGTATATACCTTTCCCGTACCCTTGGAGTAGATGAGAGGGAGAGAACTAGGGCCTGACCTTATGCTTCAGTGGTAATGTTTGCCATAATTTCCCATGGGGGCTTGATGTGTGCTTGGGGTTGTTTGAGGGTTATTCTGGTTGCTATTCGAGTTCACCTTATGACCTCTAGTGTTGTTTGGAGTGGTCGTACTCCTTGTGATCAGTTACTTTGACCTTCAGTGGAGTATGCTTTGATAAGTATTCTGGCCTCGTGTGGGTTGAGGTCAGTCATGACGTCAGCTCACGACGGGAGGTTCCCTGTTGTGCCACTTTTGTATGTTTCCCACTTATCCCATGCTATTTCCCAGTATCTTCGGTACTGTTTGTGTGGTTTGTTGGGAGGAGTGGTTTGCCTTCTCATTGTGGTTTCAAAATGGCCCGCGTGGCTTTTTTGTTGTATGCACATGGGGATGGAGGGTATAGTTTGTGATAGCCAGTTTTGTGCTAGGGCGCCCAGGGCTACTATATTTATGTGGAAGATGAGATACCTATCTGGTTTAGGTAGCGACACTGGGATGTTGAAGAGCACATAGTGTTCTAAATTATGAGGTAGGGTGCATCCTGTACTGTGTGTGATGATTTTGGATATGTCTTTCCAGTATTGTTGCAGGTATGGGCAGGTCCACCATATGTGTGCCATTGTTCCTGTGCCTGATTTGCATCTCCAGCAGTGTGTTGGAAGAGATTGGTTATATTTGTGTAGTCGTATGGGCGTGAGGTACCATCTATATAGGAGTTTTTTGGCGAGCTCTATATGTCTTGAGCATAACGTGAAGGTTTTGGGGGTTAAGATCATACGTTCCCATTCCGGTTCAGTAAATTTTTTGTGGGTCTCTGTTTCCCACGCTTTGATAAATCTGTGTTCGTGCAGTTTGCATTTTGTGGGTAGTGTTGTATAGATAGAGGATATGACTTTCTGGGGCGGTGTGGGGCTAATATACATTTCCTCGAATGCTGTCATCTTTTGTGTCTGAGTGCTGATTGTTTTCTCCTGAATTTGTATGCGCAACCATGAGTCTAATTGGCGGTATGAATAATGTGCCACTATTGGGAGCTTATGTGAGTTCTGTAATGAGGCGAAGGTTGCTAGTCCCGTGTTGGTGATTATCTGGTGTAGAAATTGTATGCCGTGTCTTTCCCATATTCTGTAGTTAAAATCCGGGATAATGTGCGCTATTGATTTGAGTGGCATGGCTTTGGAGATGATTGAATTATTTGTTAGGAGGGGACGGGCCCCATCCCATATTTTTAGTGATAATGTTGTGGTTGGTAGGCAATCTTGCAGTTGCGGCCGGTTAAGTTTCGGTATCCACACCAAGTTGTCAGTACTAGTATTATTGGCCCATTCTGCTTCTAGGTGCTTCCATTGAGGTGCTTGTGCGCCTGGTCGTGTTTGGATAATACTGCTAAGTACGGTTGCATGGTAGTACTGTTTAAGGTTTGGCAAGTTCATACCCCCTTCTTTGAGCGGTAACTGCAGTACCTTTAGGGCTATACGTGCCCTTTTGTCATTCCAAACAAATCTGGTTATCCAGCGTTGGATTGTGGTAAAATAAGTGGCGGGTATATGAATCATAAGTGATCTGAAAAAGTATAACAACTTGGGGAGGATTATCATCTTGATCGCTACCATGCGTCCCGACCAGGATATGAATGATGTTTTCCATTCTTGTAGTTGTTTTTTTATTTCTATACTGAGTTTGCCATAATTGGCGTTAAATAATGCGGTGTGTGATTTTGTGAACCGTATACCTAGAAATGTAATGTAGTCAGTTCTCCAGTCGTATGTGTAGGTGTTTTTTAGTTTATGAGTGACCTCTGGGGGGAGTCCTTTGCAAAGAGCTTGCGTCTTAGAAATATTTAGTTTGTAATAGGACATTTTACTGTAGTTTTCTAGTATGGAGTGGAAATGTGGTAGAGAGGCTCGCGGGTCTTGTATCGTCAGTAGTACATCGTCCGCGAATAGTGTGAGTTTGTGTTCTTTGCTTTTTGTTTTGACGCCTAGGATTAATGGGTGTTGTCTAATGAGGGTCGTGAGAGGTTCTAACGCCAGGACGTATAACAGGGGTGAAAGGGGGCATCCCTGTCTGGTCCCGTTCGTGATCGCGAACGGATCCGAAAGGAACCCTGCGTTGATGAGTCTAGCGGTGGGGTTGCTATATAAAGCCTGTATTGTGTTCATGAACTCTGGTGGAAATTCGAACTTCGCTAAGGTCGCTCTGAGAAAGTCCCAATTCAGCCTATCAAAAGCCTTTTCGGCATCAAGCGACAAGAATAGGCATCCCGTTTTCCGTTTGTGTATGCTGTATAGTATGTCTAAAACTTTCCTAGTGCCGTCAGTGCCTTGCCTTCCTTTTATAAAGCCAACTTGGTCTTCGTGGACTAAGTCTGGAAGCATTGCAGCTAGTCTATTTGAGTATATTTTTGCCAGCAATTTAACATCTGTGTTAAGAAGTGAAATGGGGCGCAAGTTCTGTCCTTTGTCTGGCGGTTTCCCTGGTTTGGGCAATGTGGCTACATGGGCTATGAGCATTTCCTGTGGGATTGTCCCTGTGTGTATTATGGATTGAAAGGTTTGTTTCATGTAAGGAATGAGTGTAGGTGCGAAAGTTTTGTAGTATTGATTTGTGAATCCGTCTGGGCCCGGGGATTTCCCTGTAGGTAGTCTGGTAATTGCGTCCGTCAGTTCAGTTATCGAGATCTGTTCCGACAATTTGTGTTTTTGTTCTTCTGTCAATGTTGGCAGCGGTATCTGTTGTAGGTATCCCTCAATGTCTGTGACAGTTGGTTGATATAGGGTTTTATCTGCTTTTAGATTATAGAGGGCGTTATAAAAGGTCACTAGTTCCCTATTCATGTCTTGCGGGTTCCATAGTTTTTGGTTACCTTTTGAGAGAATGTATGGAATCTTAGAATTAGATTGCTTTTTGCGTAACATGTTGGCCAGCAATTTGCTAGCCTTGTTCCCTTTCGCATAGTGGTTCATCTTAAATTTTTTCAGAATGTATGCCGTTTTTTGGAATTGGTGGTCATTAATTTTGGTGGTGATGTTTTGGATGTCCGATAGGAGATCCTGTTTTTTTGTTTGGTAATATGTTTGGGTCGTATCTCTTAGCTGTATGAGCAGTTTCATAAGTGTTGCTCGTCTTTGCTTATTGAGATATGATGCTCTGCGGATCATCAGTCCTCGTATAACTGATTTGTGTGCTTGCCACAGGATCGGGGCCATGGTCTGGGGGTTCTCGTTAGTAGTGAAGTAGTGTTTAAGTTCTTGTTCTAGTGTGAGGGTGAAGTCTTGGTCGTGAAGCAGTGAGTTGTTTAGTCTCCATGAGCCTTTGCCTTTGTATGTGAATGCGTCAGTGAGTGTCAGTATCACTGGGGCGTGGTCCGACCATGTAATATCTCCATGTATACATTGATGCGTGTGTGGTAATCCTGTGCTGGTCATGAAAAAATGATCTATCCTAGAGTGGGTCTTGTGCACTTGGGAGTAGTAGGTGTAGTCCTTATCTCCTGGATGTAGTGTGCGCCACACATCGTATAAGTTAAATTGAATTAGCAGTTTATTAAGTTTGGCGCAGACCGGTCTAAGGGATGTCAATCTGGGTTTTTTTGCGTCTAGTGTAGTGTCCATTTCCGGGTCTAGGGTATGGTTTAGGTCTCCGCAGTATATTACTATGCCTTGTTGTACGTTGCTCACTTTAGTCAGTATTTTATGTAGGAAGTGCCATTGATTGTCGTTTGGTGCGTAGATATTAACTATGGTGAATGTGACATCATTAAGGTTGCAATTAGGATGAGGTATCTCCCATTGGTGTCTTTAACTATTTTGAGTGGTTCGAATGCCACTGATTTGTGTATTAGAATGCTAACTCCTCTAGATTTGTGGCTATGTGTGGAGTGGTATTGGTTTGGGAATTGTTTAAGGTCCAAAGAAGGAGATGTCTGCCTTTTGAAGTGAGTTTCTTGGAGGCAGATCACATCTGCGTTATGGTTTTTCAGTTCCGTGCGCAGTGTTTGGCGTTTTTGGGGGGTATTTAGACCCTTTACATTATGTGAGTATATTTTCATTATGGGGTTGGGCAGGTTGGAATTCTTCGTCTGTTGTTGAGTAGTTTAGTATAATGTTTAGTGATAGTCTGCCTCGGTATGCCAGCCATGATGTGTGCCTGGTGATGAGCGATGTGCGGACTGTTTGCTTGATATGCATAGTTTTGGGTATAGTGGGTTCTTGATCCTTCTCATGGTTTGCAACTAGGGGTAAGGATAGGTGGGGTAGAAACCTGAGTCTCGTGGAGAGCTCAACTATGTACAACAATGCCCAGATGTAGGGCTCGGTACTCCTTGGTAGTACCTGGGGTGTGGTGAGCATGTACTTTCTGCTCACGAAGGAGGCTACCTGGGCTCCTTCATTGGTTAGGTATTATCATATGCCCCGAAATTAATGCCAAACTAGTATCTTTTTTTTTTGTTTGTTTGTTTTTTTTGTTTCTAATGTGCTCTTGTGGTATGGGTATGTTCTTCTAGCAGACATCTGATTATGGGTTTGGTGCCTTATCGTACCGAGGCAAGAGGGAGTGCAAGCACCGGTTTTTCTTTTTTGTTGTTGGTTTTTTTTTGTTTTTTTTCATTTCGTAGCGCCCCGGCGTTTGCTACAGTGTGGTGGGGAAAGCTGCCACAGCTTCTTGTACTGAAAATGCTAGTACGCCTGTGCTGTGTTTAGTTTCGGGGTACTTTGGTTGGCGTGTCCCCACCCTCCCCCCGACCTCGTGCTCCGTTTGGCTCTAATATACAGTAGTAGAGTAATAATATTATTAACTTTTTTTTTTTTTCAGTTTTACAATCCTAGATAGTCACTCAGGTTGTGGTGTAGCCAGCTTTGCGTCTGCAATTTAGCTTCACATCAATTCCAGCAGGTTAGGGTCAGTAGGTTATCCATAACCCTTTTGTCTTAGGTGTGGGTTGGTGGGTGTGCTTACTCAATTAGATAGGGAATAAATCTAAGCCAGATGTGGTCTACTTTTGGCATTCGGGGTTCAAGTGTGCGTTGGCGTGCGTGTAGGTGTTGTCTGTGCAGGTGTATTTTGCGGGTTGAGGTGTCACAAAGTTAACAAAATTAACATAAACAAACATAAACAATTGGTTCATTATATACATTACCAGCCTCTACTTGTTATATCTTATTAGCAGTCCAGATTGGCTGGTATAAGTCTATTGATACTATACTTTGCGCCATTCGCGATGCAGCATGGCAGATTCTCTTGTCGGCTTGCTTGGTGTGGGTAAGTTCCATTCCTTGAGGAGCTTTTCACCATCTTCTGGCGAGGTCAATATCTTCGTCGCGCCATCTTTGGGGATGAGAAGCTTGAGGGGGTAACCCCACCGGTAGGCTATTTGGTGCTGCCTGAGGATGGTAGTGATGGGTTGGAAGGCTTTCCTCCTTCTCAGCGTCACCGCGGATAGGTCCGGGAATATCTTTATATCAGCGTATTTGCCAGGTGCGTTCTTGTTGGTTCTGCTCTGTCTTAAGATTATTTCTTTAATATGGTGGTAGTGAGCGCACAGGATGACATCCCTAGGGACTGAGGGTGGTAGGTGTGAAGGTTTGGGTATCCTGTGTACCCTATCCAAGAGGAGCATATCTGGCGGTGTGTCTGGCGAGAGCACATGGAAGAATTCGTGCACGTAGGCCTGAAGGTCCGCAGGGGCCACCGTTTCTGGTATGCCCCGCAGTCGTAGATTATTCCTCCTCGCCCTATCTTCAATATCCATGAGCTTGTTCTCCATTGTGGATACTGTGGCTTGCAGTGCGTTCACCTGGTCTATTAGGTGATTATGTGCCTCTTGTGTTTCCTCTATCCTCTCCTCCACGCGGGAGGTTCTCGCTCCCAGCTCCCCTATGTCTTTCTTCAGGCTTGATAGGCCTTTTTCCCAGCCAGCCATCATTTTGCTGGAGAACGCTCCCAGCTGTTCCAAAAGGAATTGCTTGGTGACCGGCTCCTCCATAGTCTGGTCGGCAGGGTCTGTGAAGAGGTTGCCGTCGTGTGTTTCCTCCCCGCCATCTTGTTGGTGCTGCTGGCTCGTATGTTTGTTCTGCGCAGCAGTTTGACCAAAAAAATTTTGTTTTTCGGTTTTGGAGGCTTGCCTTTTCTGTTTGGGTTGTGACATATTAGTTTTCTGCTTGCCAGGGTCGTCTATTGCGGGTATTGAGACGCCTTTATCGGAGCCCATGTGCAGGAGCTAAAGATTACACGTCCATCTTGCTCCGCCGGTAGCCACGCCCCCAAGTCTGAGTTTTAAAAGACCACTTCTAGCAAACCTGAACAGTGCTCAGATCACCTACAGCTGGAAGGAAAAGGCCTTATGCATGTCTGAGTTTCTGCAAGGTAGACTATGGAGGAAACTATCTACCCTTAATACTGGACACTATAATTGTATTGAATTTTAACCCCTTGCATATTTTTAAACTATATATCTCTAACCACCATTTCTTTGTCATTGTATCTTAACTGGACGTGCTTGCTCTTTAGTGTGTGTATATGTATGTGTGTATATATATATATATGTATATATATATATATATATATGTGTATGTGTGTGTTTGCTCATACACACATATATTCTGCAGTTTGTCTTGTCCTGCATGCTAAAGCTAGTTGCTCCCTGCCCTGCTCAACATTGGTTTTGTTAACTTAAATGTTATTCAACATCCTGCTTATCTCTAAAGATTTTCTCTGTTATTTCTTCTCCCCCCCCCCTTATTTTATTGATACCCACCCGAATGTCTTGCTTGACCAATCCTCACCTCCTCTGTGCATCTCCATTCCATAGCTTTTATTGCAGTCCTGTTTTGACCCTATCATCTCTGTCTTCCACAGTCTGAGTTTTAAAAGACCACTTCTAGCAAACCTGAACAGTGCTCAGATTCCCACCCCAAGTTCCTTACTACATTTATAGATAGCATCCCACACACAACTTTAGATAATTCCAAATAGCTGCTGCAAACACTACCCGTAATGTGCACAATCCACCTTCTTAACCCCTAACACTCACTCCTTCTCCTCCCTTATGCTCATTCTCCTTTCCTCTAATTACCTACCCATCAGAGCAATGCTCTATATTCTCCTCCTCTCCTTCTCTCTTTCTATCAAAATATCCCCTTCCACCCACTTCCCTCAACAAAACACTAACATTTACATTAATCCCTCTCTGCTACACTCTACCCTTCTCTCATCTCAAGCCCTGCACTCATTTCTCTATTCTCTCTCTCCTGCTCTAACCCAATCTCACCCTAGTCGCCGCCCATATAAAACCCACTCACACCTCCTGTCTCTATCTCTCCTCCTACTTCTGGCAGCTGGTGATGTCTCTCCCAACCCAGGGCCCCTCACCTCATCTGCTCACACTAAAGTAACCAGAAACCTTGCAAACCTCCTCCAAATACCCTGCAGTCTATCCTCCTCTACCAAAATTCAGTGTGCACTCTGGAATGCTCGCTCCATTTGTAGTAATATAAAATCTACAGCTATACATGACCTCCTCATCTCTAACTCTCTCACAATACTGGCACTCACTGAGACCTGGCTATCTCCATCCAATACCGCTACTCCTGCTTCTTTATGTTTCGGTGGTCTACAGTTCTCCCATACTCCTAGACTTGACTGTAAAGGAGGTGGTGTGGACCTATCCTCCCTGCCCCTGCCCTATCCTTTACTTCCTTTGAAGTTCACACTGTACACCTTTTTAAGCCCACTCCTTTAAGAATTGCCATCATCTATCGCCCCCCCGGTCACCCTAAACTATTCATTGAACACTTTTCCTCCTGGTTACCCCACTTTCTTTCCTCTAGCACTCCCTCTCTTATACTTGGGGACTTCAATATCCCTATCAACAAGCTCAATTGCCCTGATGCCTCTCGTCTGCTCTCTGTAACCTCCTCCTTTGGACTCACACAGATTTCTTCCTCAGCAACTCACACTGCAGGAAACACTCTTGACCTCATCTTCACCAATCTCTGTACCACCTCTGATCTCGCCACTGCTCCATTTCCTTTGTCTGACCACCATCTGCTAACATTTAACATCTGCATACCCCATACCAAAATCTCACCACCGTCCACTCTCCAACCTCGCAGAAACCTCAACTCTCTCGATCTCCAGCACTTCTCCACTAAACTCCAAACACTCCTTTTACCCATCTCAAATCACAACTGCCCTAACTCTGCAACCTCACTCTACAACTCCACTCTCTCCTCTCAACTTGACATCATGGCACCTCCTACAGTTAAACGCAGCAAGCGCCCCCAACTACAACCCTGGCACACCAAGCTGACCCGTTACCTCCAAAAATGTTCCAGAACTGCTGAACGCTGCTGGAGAAAGTCTCACTTTGCATCTGACTTTGTCCACTATAAATTTATGCTGCGCTCCTACAGCATGGCTCTTTCCTCTGCAAAAGTAAGCTACTTCAACACCCTCATAAGCACACTGTCCCACCAACCCAAACACCTGTTTCACACTTTTGATGCACTTCTTCGCCCTGTGACTCCCCCTCCTTCCACCACCTTGTCCGCCACAAACTTTGCAT